CCACCCCACAGCCGGCGTGTGTTTGTGGGCTTGGACCTGCCCCAACATCCTGTGCTAATGCATCCACCCAAACACTGATGACTGACTTTTATCTGCTCTGTTTATCAGCAACCATTCAATACAACGCAGTCACATTAGAGCAGTTAGCCAAGCGCACCCACCCCACCCGCTTACAGTGACCGACCGCCATGTGAGTTTGAGTGACGGGAATGTGCCTTGACTACTGTGACATCCTGTTAAAGGTGCACTGTGTAACTTTTCTGGTGGAGAGTCCGTTGAAAGCTTTTCTGCATGGAGATTAGGGGTGTGCAAAATATCAAAATGGAGATATATTGAATCATTTAATGTGTTGATACTATATTTATTTATTTATTTATTTATTTATTTTGAGACAGGGACAGCGCACAATTTTCACATCAGCCTCGACAGGAGAGATGCAATGTACATCAGGTTGTAGCATCAGTGCTAATTTCCACCTGTCGTCCCTGGACAGATTCAATGATTGACAGTGTTGGGGAGTAACAGATTACATGTACCGGGATTATGTAATCGGAGTACAAATGATGAGTAACTGTATTCAGTTACAGTTACTGTTTCAGTGAGTGGTAATTGGATTACAGATACTCTGTTGAAATAAATGGATTACAGGGCAGTATTTTCCTGTTTTCACATTTTGGGCTAAAGCAGGACTAAAGCAGGACTAAAGCAGGACTAAAGCAGGACTAAAGCAGGACTAAAGCAGGACTAAAGCAGGACTAAACCAGGTCTAAACAATATGACACTTAACAGTAGGTGGACATAATTGAAGGCAGCAGTGATCTCATATAAAAATCATTTTTCTATCAGGATGTGGTTGCTACATTCATGTCATTTAAAAAAAAAAAAGACAATATCAAGTAATCCAAAGTATTCAGATTACATTACTCACTTTAATGTAATTTAATGGATTACGTTACAAACTACATTTTGGGGTATGTAATCTGTAATCTGTAGGGGAATACATTTTAAAAGTAACTTTCCCAACACTATTGATTGATTTGTATTAACTGACCTTAACTATCAACTGACCTATGTAGCATGTTGTGGGTTATGATGGGCTATAGATCAATATAATGGGCTATATTCTAGTATTTTTAGGTATGTTTTACTGAATTAATTTGTGTAAGAGCTACAATTGTTAGGAAAATGGGTGATTTTCATGTACAAAGTAGAAAAAACTGAGGTGCTCAAAAAGTACAAAATAATGAAAAGCCTTTAACATCACACGACAGATAAAGTTTGTGAGTTTGCCCTGATGAAGGCTGAAGGACTGAAACGCGTTGACGTGATTTTAACTTTATTTGCCATGTGGTATTAAAGGTTTTTCATTATTTTGTACTTTTTGAGTGCCTCAGTTTTTTTCTACTTTGTATTTGAGACTGGTCCCTACACTGAAGAGCACCAAAAAGGACAATTCTGCACATTTTTTGTATATCCAAATAGCACTTCTGCCCCCAAAGTTTTGCTGGGTGATTTTCATATTATCTTTGCACAAACTTAGTGGACTTAGTGGACTTTTAGTGTCACAGCCAAGATTTAACCTTTGATTTTCACTGAATCGCTTCGAATCGACCTGAAATATATTGTATCGAATCGTCTTGAATTGAAAGCTCACTGTATCGAAAAGCATATTGAGGGACGTATCGTGTCGGCAACTTCTTAATGGTCCCTGGCCCTAATGAAGATGTTATTGCTTTGTCTGGAATGTCCCACAGTGTGACATTAAACAGCTCTACTTTACATTTATTCAATTACAGGTGGTTTTATAGCTCAAAAATATCTAGAAAAACAGCATTCTGACTGTGAGCGGTGTCGCCTCTCCACAGATCTGACCTGTAACTTGGTCTGGTTTGGTCTCTGTGAAGATAGAAAGGTTAAAGATGCATTATGTAACTTTTTTGGATGAGTCAGTCACCTTCTTGTTTCCATGGAGATGTCATTGCTCTGCCTGGAATGTTCCACAGTGTAACATTAAACAGCTCGACAGCGCTTATCTTTATTAAATTACATATAGTTTTATAGCTCAAAAATACCTATAAAGAAGAGTCGCCTCTCCACAGATCTGACCTGTAACTTGGTCTGGTTTGGTCTCCATGAAGATAGAAAGTTTTAACAAAATACTATGAAACATTCCAGACAAAACAATAACATCTCCACGGAGAAAATCATTTGACGAACCCTCCACTCTAAGTTACACAATGCAGCTTTAAGGCCAAATGTAAAAGAAGAGTACAAACAGGCTGCGCTTACAACCCCGCCAACTCACAGCGCGCTCCCCCTCCTCTGTTTATTTAAACTGCATTCACAGCATACATCAGGTTATTAATGACGGAGCTGGTAATCGGGAGGCTACACTTTTAGACAGTGATTATTTGAACAAGCTCCCACTCCCTTTTGGTACCACACGCAGGCGAAAATACAGACTTCTAAACCTGCCCCAGGGCTGTTTGACAAACGCCTCTGACTAAGCTGTGTGTCCGTGTTAATTGATAATCTCGATAATGAGTTGTGTTCACATTTAACAATTGGCTGGAGTGCCAAGCTGCTGTACCGTATTTTCCACACTATAGAACACTCTGGATTATAAGGCACACTGTCATTATCCCTCTCAGGCTCAAAAAAAATTTTAGTAACAGGAAAAACTCTGATATCTGGGGAAAATGATCATATGGGGTCGAGATATACAATCCTGACTTTTTTTTGAGAGACCTTCACATCCAGTGAGTTCTGGGATGTTGCAGATTTGCAGCATTGGTCCAGTGTGGGAAATTAACACTGAAGACTGAAAATGATATGAACACTAACTTTATGTGTTCACCACTTTTCATAACAATGAAAACATAAAGCAGAGTGTAACAGCTTTACAGTGGCAGAACAACATCACTTTTTCATGTGGTACTACGAGAAACAATTTTTATCCTTTGTACACAACAAAAGTACTTTGCACTTCTGGCAGGTTGTTTGTGTGTAACCATTCTTGCACAGTCTGTATCATCCATGTTTATCAGCATGGTTGGGAAAAAAGGCTCCTGAGTAAAAAAGGCTCATAAAATATGGATTTGGAGTAAGTAGGTAATTGACATTTAGCTGTTGCAAATCTGCAATGTCTGCCTGGAGAGGGTTAAATTGTCTATTTTCAAACCTTTTTCACAAATAAACCGCACTGGACTTTAAATGAAACCCAACAGTGTGATGGGTGAGTGGTTTTGTTTGTTTGTGGCGTTCACAGTGACTCTGGGCTTTGTTCAGTTGTGGCGTGTAGGGAGGGTGCTGTCTGGGACCAACAGATTGTCGGCGTGTTCGCAGAGACTCAGTTGTTCAGTTGTGTCTAGAAGTGACACATTGCACTCGCTTTTTCGGTTCGTTCCTCCGTTCCGTTCCTCGTCGGCGTGGAGTGATGAGTGTGTCTGTGGGTGTGTTTCTCTGTGCGGTCGCTGTCTGCTCCGTGTGTGTTTGTGGCTTTGTAGTTTACTAAAGTCGTGCTGGGACACCTGAGTGGATTCGTGTATAGGGCGCTCTGGATTGTGGGGCATACAGTCATTTTTTGATGGGGTTAGAGGCTTATGAGTGTGCCCTGTAGTCTGGAAAATACGGTACCTCATTTTTACCTTTTATTTAAAGGTGCATTGTGCAACTTTTCTGGTGGAAGGTCCATCAAATGCTTTTCTTCATGGAGATGTTATTGCTTTGACTAGAATGTTTCACAGTATGATGTTAAGCCTTTCTATCTTCATGGAGACCAAATCAGATCAGGCTGCAGGTCAGATCAGTGGAGAGCAACCCCGCTCACAGTCACAATGCTGTTTTTTCTAGATATTTTTGCGCTATAAAACCATCTGTAATTGAATAAATGTAAAGTAGAGCTGTTTAATGTCACACTGTGGAACATTCCAGGCAGAGCAATGACATCTCCATAGATAAATCAGGGGTCTGTAACTCGGGATCTACCAGTAACTCTCCGCCCCCTTCCAGGTAGCTTGCCAAGGGATTTCTGAATTGTATGTATTGCGTTTAATAAATAAAATCTGATTAATTATCGTATTAAATGTGTCATTTTGATGCCTAAATTCTGCACTAATAAAGGGATAATGGTTTATGTTTAATATGCATCTAACTGTTCCCCGTCTAAAGCTTGCCATAGCTCTTCAACTTTCTCAATGTTGTGGCGATCGCTAAAATTCGTAGCTCTCTGGCATTTTCGTTGCTCACCAGAGAAAAAAGTTGGACTCTTGATTTAAATGGTTTGCAGTGCTCCAAAGTTATTCCTCACTCACCGTTTACATTCTTGACATCCTAATTATTCACCGCAATGAGTTCGTAAGCGCTTTTCACAGCTCTCAGACACCAGTGTGAACATTTACCCTCACAATTACTACGTTAATGTGCACTTCCTGATTATAAAGTGTTTTATTGTTTTATAACTGGCTGTAGATTGCACGTATCTGACTTATTTTCACCTGGAGAGCTGATTGTACATTATGTCAATACAATATGTACTGGGGCAAGACACATTTTCCAAACATGAGGTAAAAAAAACTCTGGTATAGGCACTTTAATCAACAGAAAATGAAATCTTAAATCTTTTGTATTAGTATGTTAAATGACTTTCACCACAGGAAAGTCACACCATCCTGATTTTGGATCTTTAAAACCCTATTGTGTAAGATTTCAGCTAATTAAAACACCTAAATGTAATACTTTGTACAAAATATGTAGCTGTAAACTGGCTCGCCTCTCCATAGAACTGACTATTAACTTGGCCTAGTGGCTGTAATATTGTTGTTGTTTTTTTTACTACAAAAAAAACCCAAAAACATAATGAGTTGAAGTCTTTATAATTGCTATTTATTGGCTGAAATGTAACGCACTGGGGCTTTAACTACAGATTCTACCATATAGTTTCACCTGTGTTTTATTTCATGAGGAAGTTGACTGATGGTGTTTCTGATCTGGACCCACAGGCCGGTGGAGCTGATGTACAAGTACGGGAACCTGAGTGATGGAGCGTGTAAGCCGGGATACGCAGCAGCCAAAATGAGCACCATCTACCCCAAGTGAGCACCACCACACACACTATACACACCTTTCACCACTTACACGGGCCCATTTCATTATATTTGTTATAAAAAAGCTCATATGTCTTTTAGAGTGTGTACAGACAATGCCACAGATTTTTTATTGGAAGAAATGTAAACATATTTTTGTTGTATTAAAAGTCCTATATCAAAGGGCCCATCTCATGTAAGAGTGATGTGTGGGCCTTGTATGTGTCACTGAAGTGGGTTTTAGATTAATTTGGCGTTTTTTTTTTAACAAATTGAGGCGTATTTCTGCCACCCTCCCACGTGACAATGAACTAAAGCTGCTACAACGATGACGCGGCAGATACACCTGTGACGCGTTTGACGTAGCAGAAAGAGCTTCACACACACACCCCCCTCCCCCGCTCCATCGACTGACAATTCCCACGTGAACACCTAAACAAAAGCGTCAGCATAAGATCATTGTTCTACACTGCAGTGAACACGATATAATAAGTTGATCTACTAGTGTTTGTTAATACTTTACCAATCAGTAATGTTCAGCTGATGTGGACCCGGTGCTTGAGCTTCGTGCTCCTCAAAGTCCTCGTCCGATTCTGGGTCCAACACATGCGGCTGAACGCGCTGTATCTCCATGATGAATAAAAGTTTATTCCTGCCGCTATCAGGGTCACGCCTGTCTCCCCCTCCCTCCCTGAGATGGGTGGAGGAAGGGCGGCTCACTCATAGTCTATGTCATGTTCGGAGGGCGGAGCCTGTGCTTTCTCAGGACGGGCGAATGGATGAGCGATAGTCGGTCTTTCATAGTTCCTGGTCTGTGAATGGATGTTCAAAAACCCAAATTGTGCTTGTATATGTGCATAAGATAGTTAAGCTGTGTTAGAATGTCGATACCTTATCAGAAACATACAAGAGTTGTGTTTTGTTTCATTCACACATATTTGATTAATCCTGTATTATGAGTTTGTCTACATTTCCTAATCTCAAAATGCTCTGTTCCACATTATGATGTCATGTAGTGGTCGTTTTCAAGTGAACAGCTCCTTTTACCTTTTGTTCAGTAGAGATTAGCAATTCCTGGTCTGAAATTATCCAAATAATTCTAATGAAAGTGTGTGGAGTTGAAAAACACATTGGAGCATTTCCTGTATTACCACATGACATCACAAAGTGGAACAGAGTGTTTTCTATTTGAAAGAAGAACCTAAATGTGCAGGGTTTGTGTGTTAAACATGAGTGAATGAAACAAAACACAGCTCCAGGTCTGTTTGTGATGAGGAATCAGAAAATGTTATAATATGCGCCCTTTAAAGAGAAATGTATTTGCTTTTGGGGGCTGTTTGTGTCTCATTTTTTGGATTCTTTTTGCCTTGTTTTGACCTCTGCTGCTGGACTGTTGTGGTCTGTAGTAGACTCGTAGCCCGTTCCTCGTAGCCTCTTTGATAGCGGCTGAAGTGCCTGCAGTGGGATGATGTCAGTGCTGAGGCTGACGTGGCCTGAAGGAGTTTGGGTCTAAAACAGAGCGCCCTCCACATTCTCTTCATCCTTCTGTCATGTCCCAGCCATCCTCCGCAACACAAGACCTCTCCTCTGTCCGAGTAACGCGCCCGCCACACAATGGATCTTTGTGGCCCCGTTTCCCCCCAGCACATCCTGATCCTCTGAGGCCGTCTCTATGAAGCCACGGCCACTTCCTGCCTGACTCATCTACTTCCTGGTGCGACCCACACAGCCCCTCTGAAGTCTTGATGATTTTCACGAGCTGTCATTTTCAGCCTGATCTATAGAGCTTTGTTCCATTCATATTGATGGAGCTAAGAAAAGCAGCTTGTTTTCTGGATTGGCGTACGATTGGCTCTGCTTTATTTAGAATAGATTTTTACCAGAAAGTTCTGTTGCTCTCTAGTCATTTTGTACGATCAGTCTAGAACACAGGCCCAGTTACAAGTACCGTATTTTTCAGACTATAAGTTGTTCCGGAGTATAAGTCACACCAGCCAAAAAGTGCGTAATGAAGAAGAAAAAAAATATATAAGTTACACTTTTTGGGGAAATGTATTTTAGAAAATCAGAGACCAGGAACCATCTTGAGAGGCAAGTTATAGTAATAACAACAGAACAACAGGCTGAATAGGTGTTGATATGTTAACGTAACATATTAACAGTTATTCAGAGAACTGTGGCATAAACAACAGAACATAACTCTCGATCTCACCCCAAATCACTAAATCCATTCAATTCTTCTTCCTCGGTGTCACTTCTGCGCGACCTCCAGGAGTAAACCATAGATCCATGAGGTAAACAGAACATCGCTTCCTCTTCTGTGCCGCTGTCTTCAGACTCAGCATCAGTTTCAGTAAGAATTATTTCGGCCTTTCTGAATCCCGACAGGATGGTTTCGGTGTCACTGAAGTTCAGGCTTTGTCGATTCATCCACTGACTTCAGGAAAGTTGCACTGTGGACCCGCTCAGTTACCATGAAGCTGTGTTCTCCATCCACGTTTTCCACCGGTCCCTCACAAGTTTCTCGCTTATTTCTGCTGCTCGATTACTGTTTTTGGCTGCATGTTTCACTACTTTACAGCAGGACAGAGCCTTTTTCAGCAGGATGCATGTGCAGTAGACTGCGAAGTGACAGTGGTACAGGAGTAACAGATACTGGCACACAAATCTAGAGCTCCCTCTTGTGGCTGTCAGTGGGAAAATTTTAATATATAAATCACAATGGAGTATAAGTAACAGGAAACACCCAAACCATGAAAAAAGTGCAACTTATAGTCCAAAAAATACGGTAATTGAGAATAATCTGCATGTGTAGAACTTAAATCTGGAAAACAGTTTTGTGCCAATACAGAAGTGCTGTTTTCTCCAAGCCTCGATGCCGTCACCAGACACATGGCCTGATTAAAACCTTCACTTGTCAGTACCTACAGCTGGAGTATAAATGGACATAGATAACCTGCAAGCCTCCACGTTTCAAATCAGAAGTGTTCATGGGGGCTCTTCCATCGACTTTACACTGAAAAACATCACCCCTCTCTCTGGAAGTGCTGCTATGAGCCTCGTCATTTTGGTCTTAAAATGTTTGTATTAGCTCACCCTACGTGATCCTGGTGTTTTTATTTAGCTATTTTGTCCGTAAATAAATTCTTATTCCTAAAATGGAACCTGGCTCCAAATTTGCTCCTATAAATGCAAGCCTCGATGAGCTTCATTTGACTGGAGCTGAACGCTGTGAAAGCTTTGGTGACGTCACACTCCCTTTAGTCCACTTCTTTATACATGTACGGTTGTTGGTTGAGACATAAGGCTTTAGATGGATTCACTTGTTTTAGATTATTTATTTTTATAAGTTTAGAATGTGCTGTGCAGTTAGTCACATGTCAATTACAAATATCATGATTGCTCTATTTGATTACCAAAATTGTGTAATTGAGATGAATAATAACTCTCAAGTGAGTTCATTGCGCACGTACTACACTTTTCTTTGAGTTGAAAAGTTGAAACGTTTGATTTCTGTGAGATATGTCGCCTACTTTCACTTTGTCAGTTTTATTTTTCATTGTAGGTTTACGGATGCCCCAACTTTTCCTCAAAGCAAATAACTGTTTGAGAAATTGTAATAGCCATTCAAATTTACGAAGTACGATTATGAGTACTATTATTCCTATAATAGCAGCCTTAGTTTCTTCTGCATTTTGCAACTCTGGTTATAAATGTACAACAGCACATTGTCCTATAAAACAGCCACATTTGTTACACAGAAACAATAAAAGTATTCCATAAACAGACCTAACAGTCCACTTGATTAGTATGAACCCTAAAGTCTTAATCCCCTCTAGTGTGTGCTGTGATGGTTCACCATGTCCTCCTGTAATAGACCTAATGATCTGCACGTGTCTGTTCCTCCCACCTCAGTCCAGGTCACAGCTGCTCCTATTAACAAGCTGCTCTGTGAACAACTGTGGTGCAAGTGGAGCGTCTTGTTGATGCTGCAATAAATTGTCTTTGGGTTGTGTAATTTTAATATAATATAATTTTTAATATATTGGCAAAAATCAACGGAAACATACCTGGAACAGTGCTTTGTTTCATTGTCTCATGTTCATTTAAGCACCTGAGGGACGATACCAGTTTATTTTTTATACTCATAAAAAAACAAAAACAAAACACACACAACTAGTTCATTTGAGGTTCATCAGCCGGTTCAATGGTTTGCAGTGGTTATTCCTAACATTGATAATCCATCCTACTTATGGACCATGGTGACTTTACCAGATCACAATTTTGCTGTCACAATTTCTTGATTATCATACAATAAATTGCTTCAAATAACAACAGAGTGGTTGGCTACCTGGCTCACACACTGAACAGTTTTTGAAACTTTTTTGTTTTTTGAGCTCATTATTTAACATCATGGAATTTTAACAAACTAAGTGCAGCATGTGCAGTTCAACTGATTTGGTGAGATGAGCTGTTTTTCCCATATCCATGGAGACCATGCAAAAGGCTAGCTGAGATGCTAGCTGTGGACATTTGATGTGCTACAGGCTTTTTACACTATATGTGGCACCATATGTGGCAGGAGACCTTCCAGAAGAAACACTTTGAGGGAATGGACCATTTCATCACTAACAGAAACCCCAGAGTGGTGTAAGATCAAGTCTTTTCCTGTTGTGTTCACCTGGCGCTCCCTGGACTGTGATGCTGCAGGACACAGAGGAGGGAGGGACACTTTTGGCTCTTCCACAGGATCTGCTGACCCTCCCTGACCAGTCCTTCTGTTAAACTGCACTGAGACACAAAGGCCACTGAGACGCCCAATGGAAATGTTGATGCAAAAGTAATTACAACAGTTCTCTCTTGTAAGAGCTTCTTATATAATGTATCTGTCAGTACATTTTTCTCTAATACATGGGAAAATCGAGTATGGGATCTTTAACTTGCCAGTACCAAGGAGCAGTTCAAATCTGAAGTCGACAGCTATTGTTTTTAGCTTCATCCAATATGCTTCACTCTTCCATTGCAACTAATTGGCTAATAATCCTAACCATTCTTCAGAAGGAGGCCGTAGTTGAGAAAACCTACTTAACTCCTGTGGCTCTGGCTGTAATGACTCCCGGCTTCCTCTCCGAAGGCGCTGCCCTGCTCAATCCAATTCATTTTCCACAGAATTTGTCCCAAACTGTTTGTATTGGAGCCCTAAATCACAGAGTGGCAGTGAACCTGAAGGGAGGCTGTGGTTAAGAAAATATGACCCAGGAGAGATGTGCCGTTGCTGGGGAAATGACCACATTGTCCCCCCTCTCTGTGTCTTGTCAGGTGGTGAGGGACTGGCTGTCGGTCAAAGCTCACCAGCTTTATTTATAGCACGCTTCGTCTCACCTCACAAATCCTGGCTTTAATGGTGTTCCTTTTGGTTTGACTGGCTGCAAAAATTGAAACATTGAACACACTTTAGCTAATTGGTTTCAGATCCAGTTGGTTTTATGTTATCCTCATATTGCTCTATTTTCTGATCAATGTTATAATATTGTTTCCTCATCTAAAACATACCGGTTTCGTTTCATTCACATAAGTTTAACCTGTAAATCCTGAATATTTAGGCCGAGTTTTCTCACTCCACCTTGTGATGTCATGGGGTAATACAAGAAGTTCTGCACTGTGTTTTATACACCTGTAAAACTAAGCTTTTAAACTGAGATTTTAGTATTAGTAGTAGTAGCAGGAGTAGCAGGAGTATGAGTAGTAGCAGGAGTAGCAGTAGTATGAGTAGTAGCAGTAGTAGTACAAGTACAAGTAGTAGTAGTACGAGTAGTAGCAGTAGGAGGAGTAGCAGTAGTAGTAGGAGGAGTAGTAGCAAGAGTAGGAGGAGTATGAGTAGTAGCAGTAGTAGTACAAGTAGTAGCAGTAGCAGCAGTAGTAGTAGCAGTAGCAGTAGTAGCAGTAGCAGTAGGAGTCATATGAGTAGCAGCAGCAGCAGTAGTAGTAGTAGGAGCAGTAGGAGTAGTACGAGTAGTACTAGCAGTAGTAGCAGTAGTAACAGTAGTAGAAGCAGGACTAGCAGTAGTACGAATAATAGTAGCAGTAGCAGTTTGAGTAGTAGAAGCAGTAGTAGTAGAAGGAGTAGGAGCAAGAGTAGGAGTAGTAGTAGCACTAGGAGTAGTACGAGTAGCAGCAGTAGGAGTAGGAGTAGTACCAGCAGCAGTAGCAGTAGTAGTAGTAGCAGCAGCAGTAGCAGTAGCAGCAGCAGTAGTAGTAGTAGTAGCAGTAGAAGTATAGCAGCAGCAGTATATAGAAAACATCCATCCATGTTTGCTTAGTCATACAGAAAAGTGTGTGGCAAAGCAAACTGTACCCAGTGTCAGTTGAATAATGCTGGAATCAAAGATGGATGAGAATCTTTGAGGAGGACTGTAGCTCTTTAGGAATGCCTCCTCACAATGTCAGCCATGTTTGGTCATTGTTCTGCACACTGCATTGTTTTCTGGGAAACTCACAGTGGGATTTACCATAACCGAGCCACCGAGCCAAGATCTACGGAGAAATATAAGTTGGCTTTGAATTGCGGAGATGCCTGTGAGGTTTGTGCACTCTGCCTTTTGTTAATGTGACAAGACTATTACCAACATTAGTATGCCATTAGTTTTTTATGGTTTTCTCATCAGTGTTTACAGAGGGTGCATGCCTTTCTGGTCTTTACAAATGTCAGGTAGTCCATTGTTATAGCCAGTCCCCATCAGCCAATCAGACACTCCGATTCCTGTAACTGCTCCGCTGCATAAACAAAATGATTCAGTAGATTTCTGTGTCTCGTGTGGAATGATCACAACAAGCTCTACACCAAAACACTGTCAGGTTAGCCGCGAACCTGCACACGTGCTAACATGATCCAGGCGGAGAGGGGGTCACAATAACAGACATCCATCCTGAGTCCACGCGGGCTGGGGTAGCACGTAGCCCTGTGGCGGGTCAGAGGAGGTACACGCAGGAAATGGGTTCTTTTGATTTTCAGGACATGATTAATCAAAGAGACACCGGATAAGGAAAGACCTGAGCTCACTGGGCATCGGTGACATTCCTGAACTTGGAGTGATTCTGCTGGAACATTTTCGTGCAATGAAGTAATGTAACTCTGCATCTACTAATAAAGCACTTTTATCTTCTGTGAGCCAAGAAGTGCACTGTTAACATGCTAGCTGCTGTTGGCAATGCGTTACGGAAAGTGAGGAATAACATTGGACCAACACTTTTAAATTAACTTGTTCTTTTTTTCATGTTTTTAATGTGGTCAAAATCTAAACTTTAACTAAACTTTTGCAGCCAACGTTCTACTAACTGAGTAGCTTCTTCAGGGCTTTGTGTTGGTGACTGTGGCTCCCCCTGGAGGTAGCGGTGGGGCTAACACTTGTAAATGATCCTATTTTTATACAGCGCTTTTCCACCTTCAAGGCACCCAAACACTTTACAACAAGGAACCACTCACTCATTCACTCACACTCGTACACCAGTGTACGCAGACACTAGGGGCAGGGTGGGTTAAGTGTCTTGAACAAGGATGCAACGATGGCATTTTGAACTACTGTCGCTCAACTGTCACCCAACTGAGCTACTGTCGCCCAACTGACTGAGCTACTGTCGCCCAACTGACTGAGCTACTGTCGCCCAACTGACTGAGCTACTGTTGCCCACAACTGAGCTACTGTCGCCCAGGTGGTCACATTCACTAACGCAAAGCCCTGCTGAAGCTACTTGGCTGCCAGTCCAGTTGTTTTGATTACATTTCTTATTCGTGGACATCTCAAGAATGAAGAACGACGACGTATAGAGTCGTCCTTTGCAACATTTTCTTTCAATCCTCCTTTGAACATTTCAGTCAGATTTCATGACATTGCCCTCTGCTGGAAAAAGTTGGGAGTAAAGCATTTTCAGAAAACCATTTGGCAGCGTGGCTATTGTCAACGTCCAGAGAACTGACACATGTTTCAAAGTGATGCAATTCTGAGTCTGAACTTATCAGAACAAATATCTAAGGTTAACACATACATATTTAGGTGCTAAAAACCCATTATATACTACCAGTCAACACTCTGGACACTTTGTTTTATGGTTCATTATTTCCATGTTTACTAACATTGTAGATTGTCACTGAAGAAATTAAAACCATAAATGAATACGAATACAGTGTAGTAAACAAAAATAGAGCACTGGCGACTAAGCAAAGTCTGAATACTTTGAGGATTTCAACACAAAACTATAAAAAAACCCATTTGAGTTATTTACCTTTTTTTTTGTTCGTTTATTTCATATATCTGTTGTCGTCTGTATGTATCTAAAGTGTTGAAAGTAATTAACAAACTGACTATACGATGCTGTGTCCAAAGTTTTGACTAGGGATGTAACAATAAAAAAATATTGTGATTTCGTATCGCCATCACAGCATCGCAATAAAATCTCAGCTTAAATGAATAGTTCTAGTGCAGCTATATAGTTAAAAAAACTGAGGAAACTACGTTGCTCTGTTTCATGGCCAATTACACAAAGAAATAACTGTTAGAAGCACTTTTAAATCTTGATTCTTTGGATTATTATGACCTCCACACAATATCACAATAAATATCGTACCGTGAGATGCATATCGTCTCGAGAGAGTTGGATATTGTTACACTCCCAGTCAACGTAGCGATGTATGTAAAAGCTCAAAGATTATTGCAGATTATTTTTTATTCCAAACTGACAAATGTTAGTTTTCTCCTTGTTTATCGAGGCACCCTGCCCCAGTCTGTGGACCACCAGCCCTGAGGTCCAAGTATGTTGTCTGTACACATTTATCAGAGCAGTGTCTCTTGTAGTTTAGGTTTGTGTCTTTGAGGAGTCCACAGGCCAAGCTCCAGTCTCCTCGCTCTGACAGACCCAACTTCATCAGTCCCAAAGCGTTCCAAAGTGTTGCAAAGAAACACTTGTACAGGGTGCTTTTCGTCATCCTCAGACTTTGGCTCTTCCTGACTGTGTGTGTGTATTGTTTTTCTTTCAGATTTGTGAAGCCAGCGCCCATGTTTCTCGACCGGAACTTCAAAAAGCTCGGGAAAGTCACCAATTATCTGCCTCCATTTGGATTTAAAACTCAAGGTAAACTCTGAAAATGTGAAGATATTTGACAAAAATACATGTTGTCTTGATCTAATTATGAAACAAATGTAAGAAAGAGCGAGGTGATGAGAGTAGATTGGCTGTGCAGGAGAGGTCCACCTGACTTCACTTCACTTTTGAATAATAATAATAATGCATCAGTTTTATATAGTGCTTTTTGGACACTCAAAGGTGCTTTACAGAGCATTATTCATTCACTCCAGACCCAGTGGTGGTGTGGTACTATTGTAGCCACAGCTGCCCTGGGACATACTGACGGAAGCAAGGCTGCCAATCTGCGCCATTGGCCCCTCCGGCCACCACCATCACTCATACACACACCACTTTCGTTCTAGGCAATGAAGGTGAAGTGCCTTGCCTAAGGACACAACAACAGCTTTTTACAACTGGCGCCCTCCTGTGGCACCTGATTTTCCCAGTGTCTCCCATCCAAGTACTGACCAGGCCCAGCCCTGCTGAGCTTCTGAGATCTGATGGGATCAAATTTTTGACTGAAAAGCTTCTGTAAAGGGGGCAATTCTTTTTTTCCATGGGCCCACATGAGAAACAGAAAATATTGTGGAAGCCAAAATGCTTAATGCAATTCTGCAGAATATTAATTGTATTTCTTTATGAAAAAGCAGTAAAGAGCATTGGTTAGATGAGCTGGTAAAATTGGTAAGAGTTTATATGATGACTAAACAATGAAAAAGTGAGGTTTTCTAAAATAAAAGCAATGCAGCTTTAGTCCACGCATGAGGTGAAATGATAAAATATGTTTATTTTGTCATTCCAAATGAACTTAAAGGGGATGGTCAAAGGTGGTACCAAAAGGCGGTATGTGGCCCGGGAGCTGGACAGTGCCCAGGTCTGCACTCATGCTTTCATATTTATACATTCAAATGATGTGCAAAGGATGGGCCTGATTGGTACCCTAACTTTAATATTAATCTAAAATGACCCAAAGTTTTAATTTTTGAATTCTCACAAGGGATTTGAGAGCTGTGGGCGGAGTTTGGGGGTATGTGGTAATGGGAAATTTCGGAGCACTCAAGCGTCAAATGCCAAACCTTAAAGACAACATGATTCAAATATACATGGCCATACAAAATACAGTGATGATGACGATGACACAACTCACTACGCAAAGGTCTTCAATTCTGGGGTGGAGCAGGATATTCTGTGCTTTGTGGAGTTTGCATGTTCTCCCTGTGCCTGCGTAGATGTCCCCTCCCACTGAAAACATGCACAATAAACTCCTCCCCTTTAGAGCCAGGACTCCCCTGATAAGATTCTTAAATTCAGCAGGACTATCCTGGTTAAATAAAGGTCAATAAAAAACATGAGGAAACCATCATAGCGCTATTACAAGCCAATAAAATGATAGGAATGTAAAAAATGACCATCAATAATTGTACTATCAGGTTGGAAGGAGTTGTTGTCTAACTTCATGCTCCACAACAAGTGCCTGGTTGCATGGGAACAGCCTGATAACGTGCTCACACACACACACCGACACCCACGCGCACACACACACACACACACGCACACACACGCAAGCACACACCGTCTTCCCTCAGCCCGATCCATGCTGAATGTCAGCTTTGTGCTCCACCATCGCCCACCTTCGCCCACCACACCTGCATCTGTTTGCCTCTCGTCTTTTACTTCTACTCATGTGGAGAGATGAGACGTGTGCACCGTGAATAGGACGCAACAAAAGATTTCAAATTGGGAACATGGAGTGATGGTGGTTTATTTTGATTCAGTCCGGCTGCTGTTTTTATCGCACACGTAGCAAAGCCCTACAAGTATTTGTGGTTAGCAGATAGGGTCTATATAAATAAATCTCCAGACTTGACCTGCACCTGAAGGTATCTTAAGAACACATCATGCATAAACTCCACAACAAAAGCAGCTCCTGAAATATTTCATCAATGAAGTTCATTGGATTCTTGGGAAAGTACATATTCTGATTGTTGTCAGCAGTTTGCGTCACGTCTTATAGAATTGTATTTATGCCTTTTCATTAAACATCAATTCTGCCTCTGATTAGAAAGCATTTTATTTCACAAATTCAATTCAAAAAATTTTGTCAATTCTTCATACGAAACATCGAAAGACGAAGAATCAAAATTGTGTTTCTCACTCCCAAGCAAATAAATAAATAATAATAAATGGAAAAGTTCAAGTGTTCTTTGGGGAGACACAGATTCAGTTCAGCATCCTAACAGCCTGGTGGATGAAGCTGTTGGTGCGTTCCTGCACCATCAGACTCACTATCAGTTTGTACATTTGTACATTGACAATTGTTTAATTTAGCATTTCTCAATTCTTCTGTTTAAACGCAGAAGTAAACTTTTTTCATAATTTGATTGCACAACCCACTGTCAGGGCAGAAGTCCTCTCTGGTGTCTGAAGCTGCATGTGTTCAAACCATGCCTTTGGTTTACACACAAAGTCTATCGTGGCTTGGATCTGCTGTTGGTGTCAACCAATCAGGGACTGCGCTCCAGTGTAGGTTTTCCACACACCAATATGGAACAGCAGCTCATCAAACTGGGCCTTGGACAGACTAAAGTACTGAAAGTACTGAAAGTACTGAAAGTGCTGAAAGTACTGAAAGTGCTGATAGTACTGAAAGTACTGAAAGTACTGAAAGCAGTGGTCATCCTTACAGAGCTCCTGGAGCAGGTGATGAAACTGGCCAAACTCAGAACACCTCTGAATTATGTCATGGACCCAGACACACCGCCGCTGATCACCTCCGCTGATGGTTTTATGTAATAAAAACACTTAAGCCACACTCTACTGCTCTGTCATCGTTCACAAGGGAAAACAAAACATTCAAAGACACTCGTAGACAGGCTCCCTGGACACTCGTCTCCAACTCACATCGAGGGCCCCTGCTCAAATTCAAAGACATGTAACTCGTCTTATGATCTTAGAAGTGCTTATAAACTCATCGTGGTGACTAATCAGGATGTTCAGAATGCATAAGGTAAGTGAGGAAGAACTTTAGACCACCACAACATTCAAAATAGTAAATATAAGGTTCAGCACCTCAAGTACTGTTGTAGCCTCAGCTGCCATAGGGCTGATTGACCAACATGTGGCAGCCAATTTGTGCCAACATCCTCTCTCTGACCACCACCGACCACACACACATGCACACACACACACACACACACACACACACACACACACACACACGAACAATGTACAACAGTGTGAACTCTATTAGACCATTTCAAATGCATGGCCTTCTCTGTTTGCACTGTCTTTTATCACATATATTTATTACAGTCATTTGCAGTCAGCTTTATTTACGCCGCTGTCTTCCCTGAACCCTCCTGTCTGTGTTGTCTTCCCAGTAAGCTCTTTTGTCCCTCCTGGCTCTTCCTCCCCTCTCCCTCCTGGCTATCCCTCATCTCTTCCTCCTCTCGCCCTCCTCTCCTCCTTCTCCCTCCTTGCATTCCCTCCTCTCTCTCCCGCCTGTCTCTCCTCTCTCTCTTTTCCCTCCACTCTCTCCCTCCTAGTTCTCCTCTCTCCTTGCTCTCCCTCCTCTCTCTCTCTCTCTCCCCTCTCCTCTCTCCGTTCACAGTCATTCGTTTTCTGCTGCTCACCACAGACACAGCTCACTGTTGTGTTTACCATGGGCACTTGGAGCCATTAGCTTGTGTCATGTGCCTGAGTTGGCGGTGCCCAGTGTGGTTTGTCACTTTTCACCCACTTGGCGCCGTCGGTGTGGTCCCGGGCGGGTGTTTACACTGGCGGGGTGATGCTTGATGCCACACTTCACCACCACATCCAAACACCGCCCCCCTGAGACTGTTTAATCATTAGGGATGTGAGCTGTTAGCCAGGGTCAGGGGCACAGCGACACAAATGCTCAGAGGTCACACTTTCACTTTTTGTGGCTTTAACAATTTATGAAGCAAATTTCAATTGATTTAGTCTTAAATTGTATTTCTACTGGAAAAATTGAAGATGAGGGAAAAACCTACTTACTGTGTGAGTATTTACCTCTGCACTGATTTAAACTGTAACTTGACCTACAGCATCTTGTCTCCATGCACACAGGGCACTTTTTAAAGGAACATTATTTGGGTTGCCAGTTTCAATGGTGAAATTCTGTTGGTTTAAACCTAAAAGGACTTTGATCTGAAGTTCCCATCCCTTAACCCCAGCACCTGCAGCCTGTCATGAGTCAGTGCTAGTGCAGCCTATGCAGCACTGCAGAGAGGGAGTTCTGAAGGTTCTGAGCTTCACATGAGGCTTGGACTGTCCATATACTGAGAATGACACAAACTTGTATGTCAGTACAGGGGTCCCCAACCCATGGGTCATTTGGTACTGGGCCACGAAAGCACAAACCCAGGTCTAAACGAGATCTAAACCAGGACTAAAACAAGGTCTAAAACAGGGTCTAAAACCAGGCCTAAACAGGGTCTAAAACAGGGTTTAAAACAGGATTTAGCCAGGACTTAATTAACCACGGACCGTCTAAAACCTCTATAACAGGACTAAACCAGAACTAAAACCAGGACTAAAACAAGGTCTAAAACAGGGTCTAAAACCAGGCCTAAACAAGGTCTAAAACAGGGTTTAAAACAGGATTTAGCCAGGACTTAATTAACCACGGACCGTCTAAAACCTCTATAACAGGACTAAAACCAGGACTAAAACCAGGACTAAAACCAGGACTAAAACCAGGTCTAAACCAGGTCTAAACCAGGTCTAAACCAGGTCTAAACCAGGTCTAAACCAGGTCCCCCATACCCTCTCATACCCCCTCCGGTCTGCGGCACAAAAGAGTTTGGGGACCACTGTGTCAAAGTCAGGCACTGGCTCCTCAAGTTCAGTTGTGAGAGTAATATCTGTTTTTAAACTGTATGCAGCCTCCATACAGTACATGTAAGTGTAGGGACATAAAAAATAACATTAAAATCTACTATCTTCTCTTGGCTCATTTTGTCCAAATGACCAGGACAATAATACTGACACATATTTTTGTCTTGTCTTTTTAAATGCTTCTAAATTCCTGAGCAGCAGCCCTCACCATCCTACCCGCCCCTGTGCTATATACAACCAGTACCTTTTGCACTGAAATACAAGCAACTAAAAATGTTCCCCTAAACAAAGCAGCCTTCTGTAGAATCTAAAAGTGGAGGATGACTGCAGCCTGGACACTGGAGGAATGTGTGCTATGAGTAAACGGCAGCTCTGAGCGTGTGCGCGATCAGGAGCACGCCGAGACGACAGCGTACTTGACCGACAGAATGTGCTTGTTTGAAAATGGCATTCCTCCCTGAGAGCGTTTATGGAGCTCTCCTCCTCCTCTCACACATACCTCGCTCCAGGGCATCAGGGCTATTTAACACACTCTCTCTCCTCTCTGGCATCAGGCCTATTCTTAAAGGATGATTGCTCCGGTCTTATCTGTAAAGGAGTAAACACAGAGCTGACACTGTAATCTGTATTTCTGTGGACCACCTGCACAGACATCGCTCATGCTGTCTCTCTCTCGGCTAGTTTTGGGATATCTTGTTCTATCTTCAAGGTTTATTTTATTCTCACTTCAAATAAATTTCGCAGAATCATGGAATTATGTAAGAGAATTTGACTGATTTCCAAATCTGGACAAGAAATGTTGAGTTTTCTAGTCTTTAAAGATTTTCGCTGCCCTTATATGGTATTTGACACCCCTAAAGGCACCAATATAATATGTGACACAATTTTAAAATGAGTGAGTACTATCATTTTATAATTATTGAAACTTTTCACATTTTTTGGCAAGTTTGATACAATGGAGTTTTTTGTATATCTATATTTATTTTCTTCTGTTTTAACTGTGATTTCAATATGTAAAACAAGTTTTCATAAACATCGTGGATTCTAAATGGCAGTCAAAATGTTGATTTCAAAAACATTTTCCTGGTTAACTTATGTTCCATTTTGTTTTCAAGTGGTGGCCAATTTTTCCAATCCAATCCACTTTATTGCTTTATTTGCTATTTCACAAACAGTTTCCAAAGTGCTGCACAAATACATAATAATAACAACAACAATAAGATGACAAAATAAACTACTAAAATAATACTAGTCTTAAAATAATAAAACCAGTAAAATAAAATAAAACCAGTAAAATAAAATAAAAACAAAATCATAGAATAGAAATAAATAAATAAAAACACATAAAAATAAATAAAAAACACAACATTTTTTAACATAGTTTAAAGGACAAATTCTGTGTTTTGTTTTTGCAGAGAGAATAATAGACAGCATTTTAACGGAAACCAAGAAGTACGGGCTGGGAGATCCTCTGGACAGGTAAATGTAACGCTCTGTAAAACATACCTTCATCAGCACCGTTCCCAGAGCTGAGGCGTGGTTTGACCTTTGACCTCTCTGTACCCTTAGCTTGAACTGTAAAGATGCATCATTGTGGGAAACGGCGGGATCCTCGCCAACAAGTCCCTGGGCTCCAAAATAGACAATTATGACGTGGTGGTCAGGTAAGACTCCTCACATCTCTGACATTATTCTCTGCTTTGTTACGCAAAACTGACTCAAGCCATGTTATAATGTAGCCTGATTCATCCCAAGCCCGTTTCACTTCGTAGAAACTATCTGACCTTGTGGCGTTAGAATTCATTTGCTTGACAGTAGGCGGGTACTTTTTTATTTAACCAATTGCTGCTATTTTATCGTCACATTTGTAAAGCGCTTTTTCCAAATCTAGCAGGAAGAAGAACAATAACGTCTTTCCTCTTGATAAAATTCACCAAACATTCTCTTTGTTCCGGCTTTAAATCCTTGATCTCGGGAATCGTTGCCAACACAGAATATATGGCTCTTCACTGATTGGCTGGTGCCCAAACTCGCACTTCCGGGTTTTTTGTGAACTGTCTAGTGCAGGGGTGCTCAATACGTCGATCGCGATCTACCAGTCGATCGCCAAGGTCGTGTGGGTAGATCGCCGTGTCTTAGTACTCGTCTCGGACTCGCGTTTGGACTCGGTCTTGTCTCTCACTCAAGGTCTGACACTCAACAAGTGTGATCATATTTCATTACGGCCGCTGCTGTTGGTAATAAACTTGTAGCGGGTGCAGGAGCGTGTGGGGCGTCTCAGTGCAGCCTGTGCGCTCATTTGAAACCCGCGGAGACTCTACGGCACATCACAAACACACACGCTCCCTATGCACGGCTCGTCTGCAACAGCGTGTGCCCTCGTGTACCAGCGTGCATCACAGGGCAGGTTCAACTTCCTAAACATCCTACCTGTCCATCTGCCTCACGTCAGCACGCCGCCCTCGCCTTTTCACGCTCTCGCTCCTTCCTGCGTACAGCGAACACAAGCCCCTCCCACAGTGCGGCTGATTAGAAGAGCAAGACCAAACGTGAAGCAAAAACCAGTCTAAATTTGTGTTCCAGTGTTGGCACAAAGCAGGTCTACAGCATAGAGCGGATCTACAGAACAGACCTACTGCCACATTTGGCTGAAGTTTGTCTAACAAAAGTGACAAATGCATCTGTGTTTGTCACGATGTGCGTTTGGTTTGGTAAATGTGCAGAGGCTGGTAAATATCACTGCAAAACCAGAAAAGAATGCAACTCCAGTTTGGAACTTTAAAAAACAGGTTTAAAAATCTTCCTTCACTTTTTTCACAGTTTTGTGTAAAGTGCCAGAGGAAGTTCTCTTAAAGAAGAGGTTCTCAAACTGTGGGGGAGGGTCCAAAAAAGGGGCACAGAGTGTTTCAGTGCAGTTTGCTTGGCTTTGTATTAGGTAGATCATTTTGACTTGGTCATTTTGTAAGTAGCTCACATGCTGAAAAAGTGTGAACACCCCTGATCTAGTGTATTCTGATTCCTGACCTAGTCGCTAGAGAGAAATGAAATTGAGTGGAGACACTAGGTGACTAGTTATAATATTTTATTATCAAAAACATACCTGGAGTTGTGTTAATTTCATTCACACAACCTTTATTATTAGTCTGTCTACTCAGCCTTTAGTTCAGTAGATTGGCAATTCCAGGACTGAAATTATCCAAATAATTCTAGTGAAGGTATACAGAGTTTAAAAGCACAGAGGAGCACTTCCTGTATTACCACATGACGTCACAAGGTGGAAAAGAGTTTTCAGTTAGAGGGAAGAATCCTAAACCTCAACCTAAATGTGCAGGTGTGTGTTAAACATGTGTGAACTCCAGTTATATATATTTGTTTTATCAGGACACAGTTTTAGACTTAGACAAACTGTATTGATTTGAATTGACTGACTTTATTGTGTTATAACATAGATCAGAAAAAAGTGTAATATCTGGGCCCTTTAATCACTATCTGTGTTTTTGTCCAGGCTAAATGAAGCCCCGGTGAAAGGTTACAGTAACGACGTAGGGACCAAAACCACCATGAGGATCACCTACCCAGAGGGAGCCATCCAGAAGCCCGAGAACTACGAGAAAGGCTCCTCCCTCTTCGTGTTCTCCGCCTTCAAACCTCTGGACTTCAAATGGCTCCGACACATGGTCTTCAAGGAGAAACTGGTAAGGAGCATCACTGCAGATTACACTTAGAAGAGTTGGTTCGGTCCAGTTCACCTGTCACTGCCCGTCTTCTCAAGGGCAGTGGATTAGCAGAGATTATGAGCTGCCTGTCAGATCTTTACAGCACGGTATTTTCCAAGTCATTTGAATCAGTGCAATGCATAAAAGTGGAGAAATTATTCCTAAAGTTGTTGTTTTCAGCTTCTAGAAATGGATAAAGTTATTGTCTTCATTTACACGCACACAGAAATATGGTTATTATCAGATTTTTCAGATAATCCAGATTTTGAGGTTTTGTGAGGCTTCAAATATAGTGATTTAGATAAGTGCTTGCTCCAAATTTTGTTCAACAGAAACAACTGAATCTGTTTTTATTTGTATATTTTTGTTTGCTCAGACAACAAACGTACTACAAATAAACTCTCAGGCTTTTCAGCAGCTTTCAAACTATAATAAAAAAACATTAAAGGTGCATTGTGTAACTTTCCTGATGGACTGGTCTGTCAAATGCTTTTCTCCACGGAGGGGTTATTCTGGAATTGTCTGGAATGTTTCACAGTATGGCATTAAACCTTTCTATCTTCATGGAGACCAAACCAGACCAAGTTACAGGTCAGATCTGTGGAGAGGCGACCCCACTCACAGTCAGAATGTCTGTTTTTCTAGGTATTTTTGAGTTATAAAACCACCTGTAAATGAATAAATGTATTTAAAGTTATACTATGGAACATTCCAGGCAGAGCAATGACATATCCATTAGGGACGGGCATTCGATGAAATTTTCTTAATCGATCGCTGGAAGAATTAACGATCGATTATCGATTAATCATTAACGTTTTTATATTAAAATGATCATCATTATTATTACTATCTGCACTAATCTGCATAAATAAATTCAACTTTACGACATATAAACCGTAACCACTCTAGAGCCACATCAATCCGTTTGACATTATAATGTGTTTAATTCAGTTTTGTTCAACTCTCACAGAAACAAAACTTAAAACCCACATCGCTAATTTGCATAAACTAAGCGAAGATAAAACTACAGCTCTTGTGTCGCTGATGTGGTTCAATTTCTGTCGGATTAAAAGACATGACTCAGTGGAATACAGGTTAGTGTGACCAGATTTGTGTTTGTCAAAACCAGGACACCGTACGGGGGAGGGAGGTGGGGACTCGTCATCGACATTGAGCGACTCTCACCTTGGTAAAACTTTTTCCCACTGGACACCGAAACATATGTGCTGCTTTATACACTGTGCACATGGACTCACACTTGTCCCGAACGCAACGGAAAGCGTGGAATTTCTTGTACAAGTCATCGTTGCACATCGTTCGCATTTGCACTTCAGTACGTTGCAGACTGACCGACTGTTTGTGTCTCGCTCCTTCTGAGTGCAGAGATCTACATGTACGGACTCCTGTTTGGTCACGCTACACACAGCAACCTACATTCAGTTTGTCGATTAAAATGAACGTAATCGATGAAATTCTTAATGATCAATTATCGATTAATCGACTAATCATGCCCATCCCTAATATCCATAGAAACAGGCAGGTGACGGACCCTACCCAGAAAGCTACACAGTGCATCTTTCACTTTTCAGTCCAGTTCAGTAATGTACTGGAGTAGAAGGTACATAGACCTGCTGCTCTTAAATGTAGTGAAGGAAAAGTAAAAAGTATTCACTACAAAACTGACTTGAGTGAAGTACAGATACCTAAAATGTATACTTGGTACAGTACTTTTACTATTTTTACTTGATTGTATTCCATCACTGTTATACTCTAATGATTTGACTAATAATATCTGGACTATTAGTGTTTGAAAATAAACCTCATCATTTTCCTTCGTTTGCTGCAGTGTGTTTAGAGCTGCTCTGTTTATCACCATGGAGAACATACCTGATCACATTTTGAACATTCCTCCTCCCCTTATGAAATATAGGCCTTTTCCTGAAGCCGACAGCGCTGTATACTGTAGCTAAGATGCTTCACATAGTTAAAATGCTTCACACTGAAGTCATCTTTGCTTCTTCTCAACCGTGTTTCCATGGAGTTATGCAAGATTGTTTAAAGGCGCACTGTGCAGCTTTTTGTTTGGAGGTCCGTCACCTGCTTGTTTCTGTGGATATGTCGTTGCTCTGCCTGGAATGGTAAATGGTTTTTCACCTTAAAGCGCTTTACAACATGGAACTAGTCACACATTTACACTCATATACACACACACACACTCACAGACACTGGGGGCGAAGTAGGTTAAGTGTCTTCCTCAAACAACGGCAGCGTTCATCTGTGGGAGCTGAAATTGCACCACCAACCTGTGAGTGAGTGGATCTGACCGCTTAACCAATGATGTTTATGTCGAGAGCAGGATTCAAACCGACAACCTTCTGATCAGCGGACAAACGCCCAACTAACTGAGCTGCTGAATGTTTCACAGTGTGACGTTAAACAGTTCTACCTTTCATTGCAATTGTAGGTGGTTTTAAAAGCTCGTGGGCTTGTAGGCTTTGAATAGTGCCCAGAAGAGATCGCTAAATTGCTCAAACATGCACGGATGACATTTAGAAACACTTCTGTCATGTTTTAACAACATTAAAACATGACAGAAAGCTAAACAAAATAATGCATAATAAAGAAAACAGAATTGCCTGGTATGGCGTAGGAAATTCAAACATGCTTTTCTTGGTTTAAAGATGCATTGAGTAACTTTTCTTGCTTGTTTCTATGGATATGTCATTCATATAGTGTTTGTATAACGTTAAACAACTCTACCTTACATTTATTACAAATTATATTATTTTATAGCTCAAAAATACCTAGAAAAACAGACATTCTGACTGCCTCTCCACAGATCTGACCTGTAACTTCGGTCTAGTTTTTCTCCATGAAGACAGAAAGCTTTAACACCACACTGTGAAACATTCCAGACAATTCCAGAATAACACTTCCATGGATTAAAAAGCATTTGATGGTCCCGTCACCAGAAAAGTTACACAATGCAGCTTTAATACTTAGTCACTCAGACCATTTTCCATTCATCTTTCAGAGCGAGGGGCCCCTTAATCACCTGACAGGGGCCAGTCTACCTTATCTCTAAATGGTGTCCTCTCCCGGATTGCTCCTCTAAGCACTTCTATTATGATTTTCCATTCTTCTCTTTAACTCTGTCTTGTATTATGCAGGGCCCATTCAAGCACAGGACAATGGGCCACTTAATAAGGCCTGAGAGGCAGAGCCTGTGTTTAATGGAGAGGGAAAGTGGCTGTTAAAGTGGACACTAAAAAAAGACTAAATCTACTTTTTTGCTCCTTAACTGTGTATATGGTGTTTTAATGGCATTCTCCTGTTTCCTAACTCCTACTCCGTGCTGCCTTCAGTGGCCTCTGGAATTTCGAGTAGTTGGTGACATTATGAAAGACGGCCCTGATTAAACTGTATTCATTAAATTTTTGACATGTTTAGGTTAGGTTAGGTTGCTTTATTCGTACCTGTAGGTAAATTTGCTTTGCCGATTTGAGAGGCAGGTTCCACATTTCACATTTCATTCATCCACAAAACACGTATAAAAACACAATTACAAAATAAAGTGTTACAGGGCTCCAGTGCAGAATGGTTTGTTCTATAAACAATTAGTTAAATTCATCCATCACACTTTGCTAAAATCACAATAAACATTAAATATGTTGAAAACACACAATCTTAGATAAATAGATTACAATTTATTCATAAGTACGATAGCAGCCGGAACGAATGCTACTTATATTATTTTTAAATATAATTTTTAAAGCAATATTGTTTTGAAGTAAGAGTACATTTATTAAGGGTGGTTTTAAAAATGACTTTTGTAGTGTCTTGTATGACTGCATTGTAAGTGTCGTGGAAGAGGGCTCACCAGCTGATTGTTTTTAACAGCATTTTGAGCCATAAAAACACCCACAATTGAATACATGCATATTATATAAGATTAATACCATATTGTGGAACATTGCAGGCAAAGCAATAGCATCTCCATGGTGGTGGACCTCCAGCCTGAAATGTTGTGCAGTGCACCTTTAACTTGTATATTTTAGTCATTTATCAAGTTTTGTCATTATTGATCTGGAAAGCCAAGTACAGGGTGTCCCAAAAATTTGACATCATTTCTCAGGCCAATAAATTTGGCAGTTCTTGTTGAAATAACCTCAAATTTTCACAGAATGTACTGTATATAATCAAATGAACGGATCCGGGAGAGCATCATCAACATCAGAAGAGAAGGTCAAGTTTGTGAAAAACTCTTGCGAAGCCCCAAGAAGTCTGTAAGGAGAACAAGTTTGGAAACCCAGATTCCTCGAATGACAGTTTGGTCTACCAGATCCTGTAGCCCTACATAATCAGTCTTCCTCTTGACATTTTTGGTACCAAGTCCAAATTTGTTTGCCAGATGCTGAAGTTTTTCCAAATTTTGCTTTGAAGGCTGCACAGTCTTGGGTGAGTGCAGCAGATTCCTAGACGCAAAATGACTTCCCTTTGGAAGTGAACAGCTCAACCTGAAAACAGAACAAAAATAAAACATTCAATATAAAGTCTTGATCTGTTTCTATACAGTCTGTGAAAATATGAGGTTATTTCAAGAAGAACTGACAAAATTATTGGCCTGTGAAATTTTCTGAGACACCCTGTACATTAAAAAGTTCAAATAACCTTTTTTAAAAACGATTTGCAGATTTTTTTTTTTTTTTTTTTTTTTTTGAACAACTAAGCATCCATGCAAATGTTCTCTCAGAACAATTGGTTCCAACTTGGGACCTGCTTTTTCCTTGAACCTATATATCATATTCTGCTTCCTAGTGCACTTTTGGAAGGTGACATTTCTCTCCATAATATAATATAATCCCCCTCAGACGGACAGTGGACTTTATAATGCTCCCTGAAGGTCATATTAAAAGAGCAGCTGTAGCAAAGTATGGATTTACATTAGACTGAAGGTGATGGGGGTTGTGGTAATAGCT